TTTCCGATGTAACACACAATGTGCTGTTCAAGTTTAAGAAGGTATAACAAATCGTAGATAGACTCACTTTTAGGTGGATCGTAGCAACATACTTCTTCGCTCAGTCAAAAGCCCGACGGCATCAGCATAGCTTCATAAGATCTGGCCGTTTCCAGATGGTTCCATTTTGTCGTTGTGGCCGGCCAGTTGCTCTTTCTGTGGAGGGTGGTGTGCGTTTTGGACCCGGAATGCGCAGAGGCGCAGAGCCGTACCTAGGCACTCCACAACCTGACCTTGGACGGCACCACCGGCAAGGTGCCACTTTCAAAGGGGGCTTTGGGATTGTTGTTGGATGAGTATTTTGTCACTGGGGGTTTAGTGAGTTCAGTGTGGATGTGGCAGTCGTTTGCAGTGCAGTTGCAAAAAAGTTGTGGCTATGTCCACATGGTGAGACGCAGAGAGGGCCATCGCTCTTGGGGAGCATGCGACCTTTGTAAACGTCCCTAAGCTGGGCGGGTGGCAAACCCTAAACTCTATAAACCCTCAAGCCTAAACCCAAGCTTGACAGAACCTTGAGACAGGTGACGTTTATCAAGGGGAAGGACAAGCCCAAGGAGCCCTTCCAGGTCTCTTGCAAGGCCCGGGGGCCCACTTCATCCCCTCAGAGTACGTTGTACCCCACCCCCCCCCCCCCCCCCGAAAGATTTAGAGGAGCGTGCTCTACAGCAAGTCCTCTGTGGGTGTGTTTTGAGAGCTTTTCTCAGGCTTTTTCCAGGGACTTGAGAGTGACCTGGCCACTGCGAATGCCCTGCCAGGTGACTGCTTTCCAGCTGCAGCGTCAGACCTACACCGCACCACGGCCAAAGAGGGTGTTAATTGCATCAAGAGGACCTCGGTTCAGTGAGACTTGTGCCGCAGCTTGGCGTCCTTTGAAGGAGGCATGACGAGTGGTCCTTGCAATTCTTCATCCCTGAGGCCGACGTAACCGTCTCCGTGGGGGAGCTTTCATACGGATCGTCTGTGCTTACGTGCCGTGCTCAGCGTGTGGTTTTTTGCTCCGGCAATTTGCTCAGGTCGCAGAATGAATCTTGGGCCGGCTTCTCTTCCACAAGCTGGCTTGCAGCCACCGCTTTAGATGGAATCTGTAGCCACTGATGGGAATTGCCGCGGAGTTCAGGACCTCCCTCCCCTCCTCTGAGTCTGCTACATTGAGATTTTCGGCTAGCGTCTGCTAGAGCTGCTGGACCACCAGAGCCAACACTGCATCACCCTCACGCACAACACTGTAGCCCTGAACCCTCGTGACTCAAGCCTGAAACTTTACTGAAAGTGCTGGCTTTGCCTAGCGGCTTTGCTTTGCAAGTGCCCTCCAGGTTTACACCGAAGACAACTCAATACACCCTGCGCAAGTCGACGGGCGAGTGGAAGGAGAGGGGTTGCCTCATTGTCTCACAAACAGCGTATCTTGAGATTTGTTCCAAGAATTCTTCGGAGTGTCTGCAGTTTAACTTCAGGCTTGTTGGGGGTTGGTGTTTTGTTAGCTTTGGTGCTTTCGTGTGCCCGAGGTCTGAATTCGGACCTGGCTTGTGAAGATCTCGTGCTTGGACTCGATGTGACCTTCAACAACTCTGTAAACCAAGAGTGCTGAAGGCCCAAAAGTCAAAAGTCCAGGACCCCAAGGCCAAAGCGACAGTGAGCGCCCATTACTCGTTTCAATCCTCAAGAAAAACTCATTGCTCTAAACCGCAAAAAAACCCTTCTCAGCGGGAATCAGGACTTCTCGAAGACCTGCGCGCCCGATGCGCCGTGGTTGGCTCTGGAGCCGAGTGGGCGCCAAGACGGCAGGTGAAATTCTCAGGGGCCTCCAACTTGAAAGGCTCACGGGTAGCTACTCGAATACTCCGTGCAACTTTTGCAGAAATCAGGGGCATGAACCTGCGCAATGACCATGTGAGGGTACTTCCTAGTCCTATGCCATCCTGTCCACAGCTACCCTTGAACTATTTTTTCCAAACTTTCGTACAGTGTAGTGTTCAGAATCTTTTCCGGCAGATCTGCCTTTCTTGGCTTGTTGCACAGCTTTGGGGCCACTGCGGCTTGGAACTGCCATTCGCTCCTGCGCAGTTCTGTTCAGTGCTTGGTGTGGGGCACTTGGAGCACTTGGAAGTTTCGTACCTCCAGGTTCAGAACTGCCCCCTAAAAAGCCCTAAAGCCCCGAGCCCTAAGCTAAACCCGCCTCGCTTGGATGTGAACGCTGCAATTGCCAAGGACCTTGAAAGTGGTCCCTGCACAGGAGACAGGTGTTGTGGACAACATCAAGGCGCGGAAAGGGTGTTAGAGCGTTGTGGCAGCACCTGAACCGCTCAACCCAAGCCAAGTAGCGCAGGGATCCGGGATTCGCGCGTATCATTGTTGTTACGCAACAAGCAATGCGGGGGTTTACGAAATTTGGGTACCTTATTGGGGTCCGTATTATAAGGGAATCCTGGTATTTGGGGTCTACTTTAGGGGTCCCCTATTTTCGTAAGCCCCCATGTCGCTCTTTGACACCAGCCCTGTGCCTGAAGTATCAGTATCTGCCACCCGCGCGGGCACGTGTCCACATCACCCCCAGGTTACACACAGCTGCAGCCTTGGCAAAATCCACTTGAAATTTCAGTGAGGCTCCACAGTTTTGACACTTGTGCACCGATTTTAGATGAGGACTCCTGTTCCACGGTGTACCATGCCACCTCGGTCACTTCGGTGATGAGCCTGCCACAACACAAGTCAAGCAAGAAGCCAGAGTATCGAGCACACACCAGCTCGGTTAGCTGCTTTTGACCGCAAGGACCTTCAGTCTTGTCAACATTCCTCGGTCATTGTGCGGCAGTTTATAAACACATTATGGCAGCCAGGTCGGATGCCTGGTCTTATTCTGATCCTATTTCTGCTAATTCAGGTACCCAACTGAGAGGTTTTCTATTGGTTTGAAGACCCCTGCAAGCCTTGAGCATTGCGAAATGTAAGCCAGGAAGGCGCAACAAGGTTACGTGTGGCAGGGTGGGGGCCAGAGGGGGCCTTGGGGGTGGGGGCATCTTGCACTTCGGAAGTGTCGAGTTCATTGGACGGGCACGCAGAGCACTCTGTCTTCGGTTCATTGTTTACCAGACTGCCACGCTGCCGTCAGGACGTTTTCCAGGGTCAGCCCGGAACTCTCTGCCAGATCACCGCCAGCACGCGACCCAACTCTGCAGCAGAGTGGAAGAAGAAGACCATGTCGGCATCGCGGCAGCAATGCGACACACAGTGACGCACATGTTACATGTCTGTCTGTATGTCTGTATGTATGTATGTATGTATATATATATATATGAATGTATGTATGTATGTATGTATGTATGTATGTATGTATGTATGTATGTATGTATGTATGTATGTATGTATGTATATGAATGTATGTATGTATGCATGTATGTATGTATGTATGTATATGAATGTACGTATGTATGCATGTATGAATTTTTAACTAGCAGCGTCCACGAGAGTCGCCCAGCTTAGGCCACAACAGGCTTGAAAGCCCGGTAACTTAAAGTTACAGACCAGCATGTATGAATGTACAATAGTACATATATCACACATTCATGTCTACATATATACATATAGTTTTATTGTAGCACATGTGTATACATACATACAAACATACATACACATATACATGTATGTGTCTATGCATGTGTGTGTGTGTGCGTGCACAAGCCACGCATCCAGTTCGCAGAAGTATGTTTAGGGTTTAGGGCTTCGGCACTCTCCAGTGCAGCCCCCCCCCCCCCCTCCCTGCCCCGCCACAAAGGGACCCTAAACCCTAAACCCTAGTCTTTTCCAGCGCCACGAAGCCAAGTTGGTTTTGTCCAAGCCGACCGCCGCAGCGGCGTTGGCCTACCCGACGCAGCTCTTGGCAAGCTCCGTGGATGCAGACGGCACAAGAAACTACCCATTGAAGAACCCCCCAAAAATCAAAAGCTGGTCTTGCTTGCAAGGGCAATATAGAGATTGTTATCTGTTTTATTTTTATTTTTTGGGGGGGAGTTCTTGAGTCAATAGTAAGACATTGATGCCGCCTGCGATGAAAATAGTAGCAAATCAGGTTAAAACATAAAGCAGGTGCACATGCCGGTGACGTATGTACCCCTGACTGCTCTCGTTCAGTGAGCGCATGAGCCGCTGAAATGTTGAAGGGTCAGGGTTTGCAAGCGGGCCCCCGCGCTTTGCGGGAAGAGTATGTTGACAAGAAGAAGAAGAAGGAGAAGAAGAAGAAGAAGAAGAAGCAGAAGAAGGAGGAGCAGAACAAGAAGAAGAAGAAGAAGAAGAAGAAGGAGAAGGAGAAGAAGAAGAATAAGAAGAAGAAGAAGAAGAAGCAGATGAACAAGAAGAAGAAGAAGGAGGGTTTAGGGCTTAGAGAGCCTCCCGAGTCCTTCTGAGTGGATTGCCAGCCGAGGCTCCATCGGGCAAACCGTCCCACCGGTGCTGCCTGTGGCATTCGCAGAAGGCATGATATAGGGTCGGAATAAAGACAAAAATATTCCGAATGATAATAGACAGAAAAAATAGGTATAACAAGAGTAATAGTAATAATCGTAATCATAGTAAGGAGAAAATTGCTAACAGTATTCCCTTACGGTCCCTGTACGATTATACGATGATACCCCAGAACCCAACCCCCCCCCCCCCCCCCACGCGCCCCCCGCCAACAAAAAAACAAAAAGGAGAAGTATTCTAGCTATTTCGGCCCCCTATATAGTCTGCATGAGTTCTCTGGCTTGAGCGCCAGGTGCTCCTTTGCGTTGATCAGGATGTGGCCAAGGATTTGGAGTCTGAAACCGGGAGTCAAGCTGTGGAACGAGCAACCAGAGAAGGCTTGCATGAGGCATCCTAGCAAGAAGCAAGGTGTATACAGGGGTTAGGGTTTGGGAAACAAAGGTATGTCAGAGTCAACAGAACCTTTGAGAGCATCCGAACTGAGATCTTAACTTGCAGGTGAGATGGCGCCTAGCAAGTACGCCATTCAGTGCGACAAGGAGCACTCCATCACTTCGTTGAGGGTTTAGGGTGACGGATTCAATCTTAAGGGGGAGGAAGTTACCCAGCGTATCGAGCACACTCTCCCCTCCAAACGATCTTTCAAGCAGAGAGCCTCAGAGTTCCGAGACAATTGTGACAAGGACTTTGTCTTCGACTCCATCCACGGAATCGGCTTCTACAAGGGGCATCCGGTGCTGGAGCCTTTGCCCTCGTTTTCAGGGTTCTCAAGGGGCTGCGTCGGGTTTCTTCGGGTATGAACATGGAGGTTTAGGGTTTAAGGTTTAGGGTTTAGGGTTTAGGGTTTAGGGTGACAAGCATCCCCAACTAAGCCTGCCAAAGCCCCACATGATGCCCGACCAAAGCCACGTCGAACTTTTCCTGAGGAGCTGCTGCCCACGGGGCAGCTGAGCCTGAACGTGGGCCCATCCTTTGTGCCGCGGCTTACTCTGACCTTTGGCCCAGAATCGACCCAAGAGGCGAATCGTAGGGGTGGGCATTCTGGGCAATGCGGAGCTAAAGGACTGGATAAGAGGCAGGAGTCTTGCCCAGAGGACCGTGACCCCTGCCTGAGAAGCAGCATGTTCTTGAAAGGTGCCCTTGAAATCACGGCCAGGGCGATGTGCCCAAGTCAGTGCACTCCCGTCAACGAAGCGATTTGTCTGTGGTGGGGGGGGGGGGGGGGGGGGAGGACCCAAAAAGGACCCAGCAGCTACGGAAATAGGGAAACTCCGACGCCCTCGAGGAAGCCAGCATCCCTGCAACATGCGCAGCAAGCTTGGAAGTTGATGCGCATGCCAAGCGAAAGCGGAGCAAGCAAGCTTCAAACCATTTCTCGCTAGCACCCTCACGTTTGACTGTGCAAGGACGAAGGACGAAGGCAAGCAAAAGAGAGCTCTCTTGGGACAACCTGCGTAGACGTGTACCGAACTGTTCTTGGGGTACCTACCTCTGCACCCAAATAAGCCAAACGGCTTTCAAGGTACACTGATACTGACCTCGGCCCCTTGCGAAACTGCACAAGCGCTCATGGGAGGAGCCTATTGAGGACATGGCGCTGCAAGCCCTGAGATGCTGAACGCCCGATTTCACGAATCTCTGACCTGAGGTGCAAGTCTTCGATGACATGGGGAGAGCTTCCACTCCTGATGGCGTCTTGAAGGTGCACCTCAAATGCCGCATCGCGGGAATGTTCCCAGATTCCGCAGCCTTGCAGCAAGAAGTCCCTAAGGGTTCATGTACCTATATAGTATATACTTGGGCCTGAAAAAGGGCTCCCATGTAGTAGCTATAGAGCCCAAGTACTATATAGGTACATGGACCCTTAGGGAGTTGCATGAGTCTCTGCCAGGGAATTGCAATTGGGGATTGTTACAATCCCTCCGTTCGGGGGGACTCTTGTGCCTCCCTGGTAGGTCAAGCCGACGAACCAGTCCCAGCGCTGCAAAACCTCTTTTCTCCACGCAAGGTACCTTCAACAAGAGGGTTTGGGGATTCGATGGGGATTTCGGGTTTGGGGTTTCGGGTTTAGGGAGTGGGTAGTGGGGGGGATAAGAGGGTCTTCTGGCGCTTCTCTTGAGCCCGTATGCCCAAGGAGTTCAACCCGATATCGGCCAAGATGGACATCGTCGTGATGGATTCCACATGCTGGGTCGAGGCTGTCGGTTGATGAGCCTAAACCCTACTTGGAGGTTCATGGTACTTTGACCAACTATAACTGTACTTATAACTGTACTTATAGCCATATTAGGGCACTCAAGGGTCTTATAAGTGGGTTATACGTACAGGTACAATTGGTCAATAAGAACCATGAACCTCCAAGTAAACCGGAAACCCAGAAAAAGGGTATTCAGCCGCATGGGCCCAAGGGAAACTTCCTGCGCTCTTTTTCTCGGTTTGTTTGCGTTCCTTTTTTTCTCGGAGTCCATGGATTCAAGTCATGAACGAAGATCCTTACCCTCTTATTTTGAACAGTGCTTTCGGGGGTTTCCGTAATCGTATTCTTCTGTAAGGAACATACAAGGGAACACAGTTAAGGCGGCTCTATAAGGGGATACCATGTTCGTAACTCTTTCCTCGTATTCTTCTGTCTGTGTAGGGACCCTATAAGGGAATACCGTGTTGGGAATTCTTTCGCCCTAAACCCTAAACCCTAAACCCTAAACCCTAAACCCTAAACCCTAAACCCTAAACCCTAAACCCTAAACCCTAAACCCTAAACCCTAAACCCTAAACCCTAAACCCTAAACCCTAAACCCTAAACCCTAAACCTAAACCCTAAACCCTAAACCCTAAACCCTAAACCCTAAACCCTAAAAACCCTAACCCCTAAACCCTAAACCCTAAACCCTAAACCCTAAACCCTAAACCCTAAACCCTAAACCCTAAACCCTAAACCCTAAACCCTAAACCCTAAACCCTAAACCCTAAACCCTAAACCCTAAACCCTAAACCCTAAACCCTCTGCGCGCCCGCCCTCGAAAGAGGAGACGATTCCCTGCGCCACCGAGACGAAAAGAATCAAGGTGAGCCGAGAAAGGTGCCAGCACTCCTGCAGGCACCTTGGGGTTTAGGGGTTTGGGGTTTAGGGGTTTGGGGTTTAGGGTTTGGGGTTTAGGGTTTGGGGTTTGGGGTTTAGGGTTTAGGGTCTAGGCTTGCCTTCAGTCCAGTGGCAAAGGGTCTAGGGACACCATCCGGCAGGCGGATGTAGGTCAGTGTCACTCACTCGCAGTCTGTAAAGGAACTCGCCCAGCTGCTCTCACTATCGATGGGCGGGGAGTCGCAGACGCCGCAAGGCTGGCTCTTCGAGTTTGTGTGATGAGAAGAGCTATAGCGGCCAGTTTTTGGAATGTTCCCCCTTATAAGCAGTCCTTAATAAGGATTATAGTACCCCCTATTCTAACCCCTATAAGAACTGCTAGTATACGGGATCCCAAGCTACAGAACCCAGCTTGTTTAAAAACCCGCCGAAGCGTGCCAGAAGCCGGGGACTTGCTTCGAGACGAAGTTGCACACGGCCGGTGGGAAGACTTGCAAGGTGTGGTCCAAGATCACAGACCCTTGGACCAGCATTTTTGAAGTTCCGAAGGCTCCTGAAAACCCTAAACCCTAAACCCTAAACCCTAAACCCTAAACCCTAAACCCTAAACCCTAAACCCTAAACCCTAAACCCTAAACCCTAAACCCTAAACCCTAAACCCTAAACCCTAAATCCTAAACCCTAAACCCTAAACCCTGAAAACATCCCTAAGCCTACTGAGCCTCAGCCCTTTTTGCCACCGAATCAAAGTTGCACGATGATGGCACAGAAGTCTTCCGCGGGGGAAGGAGCAGGAGATGGGCTGCCCGTGAGAGACCCACCCCTCTCAACGGCTTAGCGAAGCCCTGACAAAGGAGTGCTCTTCCATGACCACATGCGTGCACGTGGATGCCCAGACCTGGTTGGAGAGAGGTGCGATCTGGGATTTTCATGGACTTTCGGGTTTTGGAGTTGTGCTGACGTCTCTGCCTTCGAAGTGTTGGCATTGGGCCCAGCACATCTTTTTGCAAACTGTCGCGCGTGCGCCACCATGGCAGTCGTTCATGTGCATTGTCTTGATAAAGGCACCTACTGCCCCGTGGGCTATGACGTCGATCGTGGCAGCATGACTTACCTCAAGGTGCACTTGCTAGCTATGACATGGTAGGTGCCATCTACTCGGTCAGGGAGAGATCGTGTATGTTTCTGCTTGCCTGCCGCCCTTGCCATCAACCGACAGTTGCATCTCGCGCATCGGGGCATCGTTGTGGGAATGTGCACTTGAGACTCCATACATTGTCAAGGTCAAGAGGAATGCCGTGCCCTGACACCATGTAACTGCAGAGACCAGGGCTTGCATAGCCGCCTCATGGCCTTCTGAAAGCTGCCCTTGGTGAGTTTTTGGCTCCGGATTTTGCAGGAGGGCAAGACTCCCAAGGAGAACATCTATCTGCGAAAGTTCAAGGCCTCACAAGCATGTAGCATTGGGTTTTGGGTGCTTTGGCGTTTTGAGATGTAGGGGTGTTCTTAGAGAAGAGCAGGTTTCCTTTGCAGCCGATGCAAGCGCTGAGTTCTCTGCAGTGTTTCGTGGTCTTCCCCTCCTTTCTGCCAACGCCCAGGGTTTGGTCAGGGCTGGTGTTTAGGGTCTAGGGTTAAGGGTTTAGGGCTTAGGGTTTTGAGTTTCGGGTTTAGGGCTTAAGGTTTAGGTTTACGGGGTCTTGTGCACCTTCGGACGGTCCTGATCGAGCTTACCGGTTCAAAGGGTTCAGGACAAAAGGCCACAAATCTTCCAAGTCAAGAGTGCTTTCTATCATCGTTCCCATGTTCGAAGGAGCACCTTATGCAGTTGGAACATCCGTACTTCGGGCACATCTTGCGTCATGATGGCATGATTGAACACTCACTTTCGTTTTTTCAAGCTGGGTACCAGCATCGATCTTTACACTCGCGCCGCCCCGGTCGCCCACGCACACATGGGACTGAACTTGCCGCGTCTTACTCGCAATACTGGCTTACTCCACAAACACATCACTCACAGCTCACATCCGACTTATACCCACTCACAGCGAGATTTTATTCCCCCAGTCGCATACACCGTTTTTTTGGCAGTACTTCTGCCACTCGAACACTCATCCTTTCTTTTTTTGTCTTCAAGGTTCCCTTAAGGCAACCAACCCAAAACAAGTGGTGCCCTTTTTGTAACATGGTTACTGGGCTACCACGATTCAGAAACCGCTCCCCCGATGGCAATTTGCATAGCCATGCCTGGGTCGGATAGACGTAGTGGGATGGGGCTGCTGCCAGAGAGAGAGAGAGAGACAGAGAGAGAGAGAGAGAGAGAGAGAGAGAGAGACAGAGAGAGCGAGAGAGAGAGACTTCAGGGTCTAGGGTTTAGGGTTCAGGGAGAATAAGATCAGTTGAGAAGCTTTAGGGTTTAGGGAAGAGACTGAAAGACCTGAAGACAGGAAACAATGTGGCAAACCACTAAACGCATGAGCTCCCCCCCTAAACCCTAAACCCGAATCCCTAAACCCCAAGCCCTAAACCCCAAGCCCTAAACCCTAAACCCTAAACCCTGAACCCTAAACCCTAAACCCTAAACCCTAAACCCTAAACCCTAAACCCTAAACCCTAAACCCTAAACCCTAAACCCTAAACCCTAAACCCCCCTAGACCTTGGACACCTGGGTCAGGACGGACTTGACGACGTGATCGAGAGCTGCGGGGAGGGCAAGTGGTCGCTGAGCGGCAAGTTGCCCGCGCGGTGTTTAGGGCCAGCGGCTTGTGTATGTATGTGTATGTATGTCTCTATCTATCCATATATATGCATATATTCATATACTTCTTAGTAGTACTTCATACGACATTCATTTTCTGACTCTATTGATATAGACGATATGAGAGTCTTTGTCAGAGTCTATTTCGTAAGGCCTCTACGAGTCTCGGATTCGCTTTCAGGGCTGGGGATGCCCCTGCAGCGCGCGGCCCCCCGAGTCAGTAAGCCCAGCGAGAGATCTACCTGAATTGAAGATTTAGGGTTTAGGGTTTAGGGTTTAGGGTTTCTGGCTCCTACCGCGTGTGAGAAAGGGGAGGTATTTGGGGTTGCTGTTCCCCCCCCCCCCCCCCGCACTTCGCTCGCCCCCCCCCCCCCCCCCCCCCAGGATGCTCCAGGAGAAGCACGCGGATGACTTCCAGAGCCCAGGTAAAGGCGTCTTCCAGCTCCCGGGACTCTACCAGAGCTAAGGTTCCTTCTGGGCCTTGCCTAATAAGGGTTATAAGTTGCTTAATAATGGTTATAATTGGGTTATAAGTTAGAGGTACAGGTATTATTGGGTTAAGAAGCGCCCTGAACCTCCAAGTGGGCGACTCTGAAAGTTCTCAACTTTGTGCATTCTTCAGCTCCTCAAGCCGCCTTTTGAAGGGTTCCTGAGCCCCGGGCCAAGGGCCAAGGGATGTGAAATCAGCCAGCGAGGTTTGCAGGCCCCATCGTCGGTTGCCGGGTGACAAGCGTGAGCAGCTCGGTCCGCAAAAGAGTCCAGGGCTCGGGGGGGGGGGGGGGGGCTTTTGGGCCCTGGCTCAGGTCGAAAGCTTCGGAAGACTTCGAGAGCCCTAAGCCCTAAGCCCTCAGCCCTAAGCCCTAAGCCCTAAACCCTAAACCCTAAACTTTAACCCCTAAACCCTAAACACCGGGTTTCGGATGGAATCGGACCCTCGCGTGCTCAAGGCTTCACGGGCCTGCCCTGCCAGCAGCCCGGGAACATCACGGAGGCCAGGTACTGGCACTGAAACCCCAAATGACATCTCGCAAAATTCTGCTCGTGACCAAATGTGATGCCAGAATGCCCAGGGCCTCCCCCCCCAAACTTTGCGAACAGGAGGAGAAGGGGTTTTCAATGCCCCAAAATTCTGCCCAAAAGCACGGCTCGTGCTCGAGGAGGAGGTGGACGTCCAGCCAATGGTCCTGGACGACCCGAACACGCGCGCTCCCGCGGATTACTGGCTCCATCCCTGCGTTTCTTGACTGCTCTCAGGATACACGAAAGCCGTTCGGGGTTGAAAGGTTGCAGGGTGGCTTTATTCGGGTCCTTATGCAACAGGGCTTGCTTTCAAGTGGGTAGTGATCACGAGAAACTGAAAATGCCAGACGTCCTGAGACTCCTGTCGCTCTTCCTGTATGCCACTGTCGCATCCCGTCACTGCTGACGTGTGAAGGAACCCCAAAATAGGGAATACCCCTAGATTTCGGATGTCGCCAAGACGATCGGATGCCCTGGTGAAGTTTTCAACATCTGCATCAATGAAGACTCAAGACGGGTGCATGCGCTTGCCAGGGCTGTATTTCTGTGAAGAGATCCCTTTGACAGCATCATAAGCCCTAAACTAAACCCGAACCCATCTATAGGGTGAGCTGGCACATGTCTCTACTTCCCTACCCACTGGGGGCTTGTCCTGATACTTTAGCCCACCCAAAAGACCATTCGAATGACAAAGAGAAGTTACCTCGACTAAGGACTGCGCTGGAAAGGCTTGGATGGGTGGAATGGGGGGCTTCGCTGTCATGCTTCGTGTGTCAGGCTTTAGGGGTTCATCGGCGTTTAGGGTTTAGGGTTTGGGTTTAGGGTTTAGGGTTTAGGGTGATTGTTTCACAACGGCATGACTTGTCTTTCCCTGCCACATTGCGGGCCCTAAACCCTTCACCCCAAAATTGAGCAAAGTGGGCGGGGGGCAAAATGAAGCCGCGTAGAACTCAACCTGCGTACTGCAAGGACTGGGGCGACAATATGCCGGTTGATCCTGCAGTGTTTGCCCTGCTACCGCCAGAATCACCGGAGCCTTGGAAGAAGCTGCGGTCTTCCACTTGAACAGAAGGTGCCAGATTGAGTTGCGAAAGCACGACATAGTGTAGGGAGGTACGCCCAGGCCCGAAGTTTAGCTGCTCGATCGGTGCGGTCGACGACTGTAGCTTTGCGGGCGTGTGCGTAATCTGGCGAAGCTCCTGCACGGGGTAAGGATGACTTCATTCCGTCTCCACTTGACCTGGTGGTAGGGCAGTTTGTCTGCCTGCTCCTCAGACCGGGTCATTCCGACGCGTGATGATTGTTGACATGGCGTATCAGACCACAGGGCCCGCAGCCCAAGCCCAGTTCAGGAATACCGTGCAGCCTTCCATCATTGAGGATGTCTTGCAATCTCTTACCCGAGTAGCCTGAGCCAGAAAAGTCTCGAAAGCCCACAGACTCTGCAGAGTCTGCGATTTGTCTCGGCCGCATCAACACTTCTTCCAGCGCCGTCGTTACCCGTGACTCTTGAGGCCCGCCTGGCTCCATGATTGGCGACGGCCCCATCTATGAGACGGAGACTCTGCAAACCATGGGATGACTTTGGTGCAACTTTGAGAGTCGTGCGGTGTGTCCATAGAGCTGCTAGGGTTCTGGGCCAACATCCTGCGTGTTTTCATCCGGATCTTCTCTTTTTTCCTCTGTGGGCGCAGGAAACCCAATCTGCTGAGATGGGCGATTGCGAGGCCTTGAAAAGGATGTTTCGGTGCCATGGGTCTCAGGCTTGTAGCAGGTCCTTCACTGTGCTGTGCTTGGGGAAAAAATTTTGATTTCACTTCTTCCCCTTAAGGGAAATTACTCATAAATATTTTTTCAAAGGGTTTAAACCACAACTCAGTTCAGGGCCTGGCGGATATGAGTTTTAAGGTTCAGGGTTTAGGGCTTCACACCGGGTTCAAAAGGGCTTCGAGCCTGATTCCCGAACCGCTTGCCAGCTCCAGTGCAAGAACGACGAGGACTGCCATTTCTTCTGGCATGGCAAACAGCTCTCGACTCCAACTTGCAGGCCGCAAGAAGAAGCGTTCGTGTGTGTGTGTGTGTGTGTGTGTGTGTGTGTGTGTGTGTGTGTGTGTGCGTGTGCGTGTGCGTGTGCGTGTGCGTGTGGGTGTGTGTGTGTGTGTGTGTGTGTGTGTGTGTGTGTGTGTGTGTGTGTGTGTGTGTGTGTGTGTGTGTGTGTGTGTGTGTGTGTGTGTGTGTGTGTGTGTGTGTGTGTGTGTGTGTGTGTGTGTGTGTGTGTGTGGGGGGTTCAGGTTTGTGGAATGGGTGGGGGCTTCCCTCTTCCCATTTGTAGGTGATGTTTTGGGACATTGGACATGCAGGATTCCGAGATCATACGGGGACTACTCAGTAGGGTCCCTTCTTCCACGCTTCCAAGCAGGGACTCTTCTAGTTCGGGCCATTTCGAGGCTGTTACGCAGTGTCGTTTTTGGAGCTTGAGGGAGCTCAGAAACCTCGGTCCTAGTAGTAGGTGGCTTTATGTTTTTTTAGACAGCAGGAGCCCGGTCACGCATTCCAACGGCCCTTCCTCTCGTTCCCTGCGGAAGTGGAAAAGAAAGACTGGGCAAAGCAACTACCTGGTTGTTAAGCCCCCCGCCCCCTTAAGAACTCACCACCCAACAACAAAGACAGGCGACGAAAAGGAGTTAGAAGAGACGTTTCTAAGAAGCTTTGAAGAGACATTAACCGAGACTTAAAACCACTCAGACAGAAAGTTCTGAAGCTAAGAAAGAAAGAAGGAAGGAAGGACATACAGACAGAAAGAAAGACAGAGAGAAAGAGAGAAAGAGAGAGAGAGAGAGCGGGAGAGAGGGAGAGAGCGAGAGATCTAAAAGCAAAAAGCAAAATGAGAAGATAAGAAAACCAAGAAAACACACAGCATGCTCAAAACAGCATGTTTAGAAGAGAGGCTGTACTCCGCCTCAACCCTAAACCCTAAACCCTAAACCCTAAACACTAAACCCTAAACTCTAAACCCTCAACCAGAGGCTGTACTCCGCCTGCGAGCATCTCCTCCGGGAGCCGGGCCTCGAAGGAGTCCTGAAAGCCCCTGGGACACCACCATTGGAGGTTCATGGTTTTTTGAGGTTTAGGGTTCAGGGTGTAGGGTTTAGGGTTTAGGGTTTAGGCTGCTAGAGCCTGGGCGGGGGGGGAGCTTCGATAGGTTTAGGGGCTTCTAGTAGGGCTCTTCCCCCCTTCTTGTGGGGAAAAGGATTGGAGCATATAAGGGGTCCCCTGTGATGGGAATAGGGCTTAGAGGCACTTCTCATTCTTTGCCGTGCTGCAGGCTGAAGCCCAAATGTCACAATCCATCCATTAGCCGATGTCTGTCAATCCAGGCCCTGGACTTTCCCAGGAAACGTCTCCACATACTGTACCTGAATCCCACACCTTTGACTTAGTCGGGCGGATGGTGTCCAGCAAGATTTCATCTCACAAGTCACGGAAGAGTTCTGCACATCGAAGGGGCCGAAGCTCTCAAGAGATCCTCTACCAGAGGGCAACGGCGGCAGCGTTTGAGGTCAATACCTGTTTCCTCTGCCTTGGCCCCCGAAACCCCACCGCACGAAAAAGAAAAACTCAAAGCCTTCAAGCCCCACGCACATGTAGCCCTGCGCAAAAACGCCCAAGGCTGTGCCAAAGTCTCCGCTCTGCATGGTCAGCAATCCAGAGGTCGGATGCATCAAGGGGCCACAAGGGAGCTCCTTAAAAAATCCCTCAAAGCTCCTCCAGCCTTGTGCTCCTAAACCCTAAACCCTAAACCCTAAACCCTAAACCCTAAACCCTAAACCCTAAACCCTAAACCCTAAACCCTAAACCCTAAACCCTAAACCCTAAACCCTAAACCCTAAACCCTAAACCCTAAACCGTGGCAAGCCCTCCAGAAGTCCTAGGGTCCTTGAGGCTTCCATAGAGCAAGGCACGAGCTTCAAAGGCCTCTTAGCCTGTCAGTGCTCGGAGCAGGCCTGCTGGTCCACGAGGCTGCGGCGCTATGCGCTGACTACCTCGGTGCCACAGGGCTACGAGCCACGTGGCGGGTTAGTTTGTGAGCCATTCTTGCGCTGCCAGAGAAGCTGCTTTTGCGATGCGACACCGCGCAACATGGGGATCAGCGCAAGTTTCGTAGTATGCATCAGAGGAGCAGGCATGCAGTCAGCAGATGCGTTGACATGGGCTGCTGAGGTATTGGAACCTTCATGCAGAGTGCGACTATATGTTGCTGCTAGGACTGTGGGTTCTTGTCTTAAACACGGTCTGGAACTCCAAGAACATGGCCAATGCTTCAAGAGCCCCTGACCCCGATCCAGCTTGAGGGCTCACGCCTTCATCCAAGGAAGGGCCTTGCTGAGCATGAAGTGCTTCATAGCCCTAGTTACCGGGCACTACTTGAGGGTCCTGAGAACCCTATTGAGGCACTTACAACCCTTTCATGCCCTGAAGGCCCCCAACGTGCGATGTGCTTTTCAATGCGTTGGTTCAGGAGGATGGGGTGTTCAATCATGCACGCGGCCATCACTCCGTGAGTTGAAGAGCCATGAATGGCAGCACAAGAGGTTGGGGGGGGGGGGAGGGGGTTTAGGGTTTAGGATTGAGGGAGAGGGTTTAGGAGGGGAGAGGGTGTATCACTTTTGGGGTATCAGGGTTTTTGGGATTTACGTATAGGGATTATGAGGGGTTTTATTGGTTTATGGGGTGGGGTGGGGTTTTGCGGGTTCGTTTCTGACGGGGAGGGTTTATAGGGATTTAGAGGGTTTGTGAGTCTTTATGGGGTCTGTGGGGTTTGTCGGTCTTATTGGTTTTTTTGCGGGTTCACAGCGTGTTATACAGGTTCTTTTATGGGGGCTTTCTGGAGTTCATGGTTCTTGCTTGGAGGGTTTAGAGGGGGCGATCGGGAGCCCGTCCGTGCGGTCAAGCACGCCGAAGTCGGAGAATCGATGGCCGCTTCTCAAGTCAAGGGAGTCAGACTCGGACCCCTAAAGCTGATGTACCCCTGAGAGGTTTAATTTGAAAATGCTCCTAATCCGGCCCTTGTATTCCTTCAGAGGATCTTTAAAAGAACTTAAGGGTACAACCTTCGGGGTCAAAGGTAGACTCTAATGATCAAGGGTTCTCTGCAGGCAGCTTCCCCTGGAGTTCAAGCACGGCACGAAGCTGGAGGTGACTGGTGAAGCGTGGGCAAGTTGAACATCGCATCCACTCATCTAGTACATAATCGTATAACATTTTATAGCTCATTCTCTTACCTGTTGTTATTTTGCTGTTCACTCACATGTTCTTCCATTTCTATATGCCTGTAGGATTTCTTCTGTTGTACAAATAATCATGCACTGAGTCGTCGGCCTGGGGAGTTTAAGGTCCACCTTGTTGCATCTCCCGTGTCTATGCTCGAGTTTGTAAGATCTGTCTCTCTCTCTCTCTCTCTCGATGTTGCACGCGCTGCTCGTAGAGGCAGAAGGTGGCAACATCCAGCTCAGCTGATTGCAGCAGGAAGGCGATTTCAACTACATCTCAAGCTTCACAAGTTGGGATCTTCCCCCCTTTTACTACTGTAACAGCTCCTTAATAGGGATTCTTCGTTTGGGGGGGATTCTATCGAATCCCTATTAGGGACTCCCAGAGTAAAAGGGGGGGAGCATCCCAACCCACCGCATACCAGGCCAGCTGCTGGACCGACAGATACGAAGCAATCCGCCTGGGAAAGCGAGACGTTGAGGCCGGGTCAAATTTGTCCGTGGCCTTCTTTGGGTTTAGGGGTTTAGGGTTTAGGGTTTAGGGTTTAGGGTTTAGGGTTTAGGGTTTAGGGTTTAGGGTTTAGGGTTTAGGGTTTAGGGTTTAGGGTTTAGGGTTTAGGGTTTAGGGTTTAGGGTTTTGGCCTTCTTGGGAGTGAGCCAGAAACTGCGAGGCAAAGTGTCACAAAAAGGCCCCGGAAGCTGTAGCACCTCGCACTGCTGCCAAGGGAATTCGGGCGAAGCGAGATCCATACTGGGTGGAAGACCTACGGGGGTTTACGGCTGGAGGTTTTAACAAGGATTACATGAAACCCCCAACTCCTGCACGTCACAGCCCCCAAGTTCCCCAAATTCTGCCGAGCTTTGTCGCCGTGGTCAAAAAGGTAATCCAGTTTAAAGCTTCTCTGCGTGGCCTCGAAAGCCAGACGCCATCCCAAAGCCAAGGGTTCCTGCGCACCCTGAATTCAATGCCCACAGGCAGCAACTTGCGTTAACGGCAGCCTGTCCGCATGGAGAAATTCAGGGATTAGAAAGAGCTAGCGTGCTTCAGGGCAACTTCCTTTTTTGGTTCATCGCCAGTCTGATTAGGCAATAGAAGAAACCTTCATCACAGGGATCGCATACACAACCAGAGAGAACGCAAGTCCTAGCACCAAAAACCACAAAAACAGAGCCTCAAGAAAAAGAATCGCTCCCTACTCAACACCACAGCGCAAAGCGCTAAAGGATTCACCCACAGTCCCCGGCTCCTTTGCAGGGTTTAGGCCCTTACACACCCCATGTCAGGCACCCTCCACAGTCCGGAAAATCGGGGCCTAGAGCTTGAAGCCAACACCACGCCTCCCCCCCTCCCCCCCCCCTCCCCCCCCCCCCCCCCCCCCCCCCCCCACACAAAAAAAAGCAATCAGCGAATGTGATTGCCAAGCTGAACCCCAAACCCTAAACCCAAAACTTCCCTAAACCCCAAACCCCAAACCCCAAACCCCAAACCCCAAACCCCAAACCCCAAACCCTAAACCCTAAACCCTAAACCCCAAACCCTAAACCCTAAACCCTAAACCCTACTATTTTCATGTTTCAGAGGGTTTGGCCATCCTAGCTTGAGGTCAACCCTAAACCCTAAACCCTGAACCCCAAACCCTAAACCCTAAACCCTAAACCCTAAACCCTAAACCCTAAACCCCAAACCCTAAACCCTAAACCCTAAACCCTAAACCCTAAACCCTAAACCCTAAACCCTAAACCCTAAACCCTAAACCCTAAACCCTAAACCTTCCAGCTCAAAAGGCTCAAGGAAGCTCTTCTGAGGTCAGTGGTTCGGCTCCAGTGGCCTCCTGGGCTTCCAGGGCTTCAGCTGCGTCGCCTGCGTGCAGGCCATGGCCTCCTTGGGGTTTAGGGTTTAGGGTTTAGGGTTTAGGGTTTGGGGTTTGGGGTTTAGGGTTTAGGTTTAGGGCTGAGGGTTTCGGGTTTAGGGGCTCAGGGGTTTAGGGTTTAGGGGCTCAGGGGTTTAGGGTTCAGGGTTTCAGGTGCAGAGAAGACCGAGACAATGCCCCCAAGATACCCCCAAAATGCGAGAATCCTTGTCAGAGGAGCCCTGCAAAGGGCCTGATAAAGTTGTGACCATCGAAAGCATGGCCTGGACCCCCAATCGGACTCGAAGCTCTGAAGGTCGGCACGAAGGGCTATGGAGACCTGGAGAAGAAGAGGCAGCAGGACCCTCACCCACCTTTTCTTGGGACGTCATGCTCAGAGGTCCTCGGCACTGAGGGCCAAAGGCGCCTCGAGTTGGGAGGGGTCGGAGGGGTTCCGAAACTCGAGGCTTGGTTGGCCTCGTCCTTCCACCCCAACGGCGCGGAGCGACCAACCCGCGACCCGAACACATGAAAACAGTCCCCAGCGGAACGTAGGAGGGAGAGAAAGCACCACGCATACATCCATGCATCTGTCTCTTTTCCACTATCACATCCATGCATATGCCCACATGTACGCATGCAGGGCTACATACTGTACAGTACAGGCACGCATACAGACAGACACAGACGCACACATGAGTGTAGGCTGTACGTGCCTTCAGACATGCATGTGAGCAAGGGCTCATTGGGGAATAGTTTGCCACCTGTCGCCTTCTGTCTCTCCCTACACAAATTCATGTAGTCAACCTGGGGAAGTTCATTCACTCGCCCCACAATTCAGCTTCATACAGTTCAGAATTGTTCTTGGTCTCCACGCCGGATGAGAAAAACGAGTCTGCGTCCGCAAAGTGGTGTGGCGAAGTCAGCCCTTGGTTTGGATTTTCGAGAGCCCACATAATGAACAGATTGAACCTCTGAAGTGCAGTTGGAATAAGCCATGAGTTCAGTTTCTTCATTCCCCGAATACTTGCCAACCCTCAAAGATAGGGCCCGGTCCGAAGGACGTCTAAGGGGGAGCAACCAAATTCGCACTGGGCTTCGTCTTGAAGGCAAGCGACAGACCCAGTCTCCAGGAAGAGTAGCCGCCCCAAAGAATTTCCCTTTGTGCACAGAACGACGTCGAGCCAAAAGCATCTTCCAACTGGAGTTGTTGCTCTTTGTCTTTCTCGCGGTGTGTGAAGGCAGCACTAATACATTGTTACAACTAGAGGTATTACCATTTGGCAAGATTAAGTTTTCTGTCGTCAAGCTCTGAGAAACATGACGTGACATGCACAAATCATGAGTGTTTTTGCTACGAAAAAAGAGGTGGACACATCAGACTTATGGTGCTCAGATCCTGTTCACTCACCTCCGGGAACAACAACAAGAGTGCTAGTACTTGGAGGTTCATGGTACTAATCAACCAGTTATAACTGTACTTATAACCATATTGGGGCACTTAAGGGGCTTATAAGTGGATGCCAGTACAGTTATAATTGGTGAAGAAGTACCATGAACCTCCAAGAAGTATAGTTCACATAGCAGGCTGCTAGGCTCTTAAGAGTTTCATCTTGCGGTCCAAGTAGGACAGAAGTTCTAAACAGGCCATATGCGCGGAGTTGAAAAATTCACAGCCTTCAGCTTTTCGAAGAAATGAAAAATGGCCCAGCGGAGAAAGACTCACGATAGAGTTGGGTCCGGTACCCTAAGCCCAATTTCCAGACGGCATTCTGTGCCGCAAATACGATGCAACACATCCGACATTCCGATTGTGTACGCTGAATGTGCGTGTCTGCAGATGCACATCGTTTTCACAAGCTTGCAGGAGCTGTACTTCTTCAACAAGCTCTCCCTGCAGCTGTACAGCGAGGTGCAGAGAAGCTGCCGTACATAAAGCGCCACATGAGCCAAAGTCCGCGCTACGCGTCCTTTGCACCTTTCCCTCTAGGACCCTGCGCAGCCACGGAAAGCTTTTCCAGAGAGTGCAACTCCGAAGCCGGAAAGCCCACGCGTAGCCCCAAGCCAGGATTTTCTTTGTTCATCCAAAAGCTACGGGAGTCCTTTTTTTTTTTTAATGTATTTTTAGCAGGTCTTACTAAATATAGATGTTTATATGATTGCACGTCATGCGAAAACATATGATGTGCACGGATGCCTTGTGCTTCTTTTTTCAAGGCGGGGTGAGAGAAGAGGAAGCAGCAGGTGAACCCCATCTCCGATGCCGCTGTGAACTGCCTGGAGCCGGTACGACCGTCGCCCGTGGTCGAAAGCACTCTCCCGGAGGACAGCGCGCACAAGGCTGCTGTGAGATCTGTAAGGGGGGGCTGAGGGGTATCAGGACCTGTTGTGCAGGGTTTGAGGATCCAGGTATTCATGGTTCATGGTTTATATGGTGTGAGCGGTATGTTTCGTGTGGGGCTTAAAGGGTCGGAGCTTTGTGCGTCTTGGATGAGCATCGGCTTCCCCCGGCGCCAGAATCCGCCCCACGCAGGAGTTGACGAAGACAGAGACGTTCGACCTGCTAGGCCAGCTGCGGGGTAGCTTCGCATGGCTCATGATTTGGGATGTTCCCCCTTATGCTAAGCGTCCTTAGTCGGGATTATCGTACCCTGTTCTAAGCCGTATTCAGAAGGGGGAACATCCCAACTTATGATGGTAGCATCTCAATCTTGCGGCCGCCGGCTGGGTTCTTCGAGATTCGGATGCCAGGTGTGAGCAGTGCAAGGTCAAGAATGCTTGAATTTCGGGTTTTAAGGGTGGTTTCAGCTTGGCGTTGTGGAGGTTATGGAGATCCCTCCCCTAGCAAAAGCACGAGCATCTTGACAGGACACGACTTCGAGGTGAAACCGGACGTCATGGGTGGCGACTCGCTCTGGCACAAGGTGGGCTTTGGTTTGGGGCGATCCGAGATTTTACATCCTTGGTGGCCTAGTGGTGCCCTTTTGCTCTTTGTTGTTGTTTTGCTTCGGGTTCCCTTCTAAGGTAACAACAACCCCGAAAAAAAGTGTGCCCTTCTATGGTTACTGGGCTACGAAGCATCCTACAGTCTTTACACTTTGAGGGTATAGCGTTTTGAGGGCTTAGGGGCCTGTAGCCTCCAGGGTGCTAGCGGTGTAGGTACAAGTAGAGTTCTAAATGGAGTTGCCAGGATTGCCCTGCCGTTCATTATCGTGAATTCGGCCACCTGTAGCTACAACTCCCTACCATTGCCGCCCTCGATCTTTCAAGCGGGTGGTGCTCCTGGGTCCTGTCAAACTGCAGCTCTGGGCAGGCGTCCCAGATTTCCTTCAAGAAGTTCAAGAAGCCAAGTTCCAACGTGGGCGAGAAGGTGACTTGGACTCGACCTCTTGGGTCTTCAGTTGCCTATCAGGCCCCCAGGAACACTTTTTTCTGTGAGGGAGGTGTGAACACATGTAGTTCTGCTTCCGGTCCAGAGGCATGTCGGGCTTTCATGGCTTCGGACCATCATCACCCGGCAAAGAGTGCACAACGTGCTTCTCAACTGCTGGCCTACTTAGCTTTACTGGCTTGCGTTGATTGCGGAGAGCATGCCGGCATCTCAGGCGAAGCGGGGGAAAGTGCTCACGGATTCGCCGAAGACCTCCGGAACGGACGCCGCAGCTGTCAAAGTGGCAATGTTGTTGCTTGATCTCTTTCTCTCTTGCTCTCTCTCTCTCTCTCTCTCTCTCTCTGTCTCTCTCTCTCTAGCTCTCTCTCTCTCTCTCTTTCTCTGCGCCTCTGGATAGCATAAGGGAGTCGTTCGGGAGGTGCTGCTTGTCTGCTTGGGACAGCAGTGCCCTCGCATCAACTTAGCCTTGCTTGCGCAGCTTGAGCCTGGGGGGGCCCACCTTCCAGGACAAGACTTGCGTCTTCAACAAGCCCTGCAAAGGCTTTACCTGTGCCATTAAGTGCCTTGGCCGAAGTCGTCACTTCAAGTCATAACTCTGCAAGGTCGGCTGAAGCTGCTTTCTGGCGTAGGGCCGGGTCTCGCCGTCAGAGGGCCATCGGCCTCGGCCGTGTTCTACAGCAAGCTTTGAAAGTCCTCCTGCCAAGGAAGATCAAGAACCGGTACTGGAGCGTGTGGCCCGGCTCAGCATTCTCGACTGAGGGTTTAGGACCTATGAGGTTTAGGGACCGAATTGGTCTTTAGGGCCGCATCTGGAGGACCTTGATTTCTTCCTGCTATGCTTTTGGGACATTTGAAGAAGTGGTGTCCGGCTTGTAAAATTTTGCTTCTGCTCATGTATTTCTACACAGGCAAGGCCCTCAAATCCTGAGGAAGATGAAGAGGAAGTACCGCATCATGTCCCTGGAGTTCACCATTGGAGATGAGCCTCTTGAGGAGCTTCTATCCATGTCAGGGCCATGGTGCAGCACGTACTGATACGGACTGATGGACAGATCTGAAAAGCGAGGAGCAGGCACGGTTCCGTCATGTGCGGACTTTGGCACATTCTCCCATCTTCGCCATAGTCGGGGAGCATCCCACAGCTCCCAAAGTTCGCTCGCCCCCCCCCCCCGGCCTTCGTTTCCTGCCTTGGCAAGGTTCGTCCAAGAATGCCCCTTGAAACGCACGGCTGGACCACTCCGATGCGCATGAGAGTTTGCACAGTATGTGCTGTAGAGAGCGTTGGGAGATGTTGGGAGCAACGCAAGCTTCCACACAGTTTGTCTTCATTAGTTACTCTCATCTCTACAGGCTGCTTCGTCTAGGCAACTTCTACACCGGAGTCTACCCAAGTTTAGGGCGCTCGCTCTCTCTTTCGTCGCCGGTTTCCTCATTGGTTTCTTCGCGCCGACCAGTTCGGCGCCTGTTAACAAACGGTGCTCAGTTATGCGCATTAAATGCGTTCTTGGATGACGGTCTGTATGAGCGCGCCGGCTCTGAAGCGCATGAAGCGCGCACATTTCGGAGAGCTCCTCGGACCTGGATCCATCGCGGTCTCCGTGAGCAGGTGTGTGGAGTGTGTGGTGGGGTGTGGTGGTTGTGGTGTTGGTGCGGAGTATGGTGCTCTGTGGTGGTGGTTATCGTGTTGGTGCGTGGTGGAGTGCGGATGTGTTTGGTGGAGTGCGGACTGCGGCAGTGGTTTGTGGTGTGTCGAATCAATACTGGTGCCCTGTGGTTTTCAAAATGCTGACTTCCGTGATGCATGTGTCCGGCAGGATGTCAAAATCAAGGCGCCTTGCCTAGAGTAGTTGCCTCAAAGCCCCAAACTGCCCAATCCTGGATCGCAGAAGCCGGCCCAACATCTCCCAAGAGTTGCTCTCACCCTGCGGGTTTAGGGTTTGGGCGGTGTAGGTTTTGGGGCTCCCCTCCCCCCCCCCCCGCCCCTGTAAGGACTCTAATGTCGAACTGCAAAAACCCTACTACGTCCTCAGCCTTTTCCCAGGTTGGCTGGCGTACATGCGCCCGCAGAGTCTCTATTGGACAGGGTGTTGTCAGACGTGTACGATGCGTCCCGGCGGCACATAGGGGGGGGTTTCCGAAATTGGGGGGTGCCTTTCTGGGGTCCTGATTATAAGGGGATCCTACTATTTGGGGATCTTTGTTAGGGGTCCCATGGGGTCCCTCATTGTCGCAAACCCCCCCCCCCCCCCCGTATGATATACTCTGCATGAACTTAAATCCGAGAGGAACCCGCCATGCGAAGCAGCCCCATACGACCTTTGACCTTACTGCTGGTTCGTATGGTTAGTAGGGAATGGGGGAATGAGATACCCTATACAATCCCTTAAAGGGGATATATAGGGCCCTAATTCCCTCCCTGCTAACCAACAGTAAGTGACTGACAGAGTCAGTCTCGAAGACTCGCATAACTTTTGCCCTAAAGTGTCGGGATCAAGAATCCAAGCAGCCGAGGAGTTGGAGGACTGCTACAGTAGACATACGTCTGAGCCCCCTATATGAAACCCAAGCTCATATGGGAAGCAGCAACTTCAAACCCTATTCACAATATGCCTTGGGGGGTACGGCAATATATCGCATACGCATACAGTAGGAACAACTACCCAAAACACCCATTCCTCTTAAAGGTATTTTGCAGCAAACGTTTATAAGCCCATCAACAGATTAAGTGCGCCTCGTACAAGTGTTTCGACAGCTAACTTGCTGAAGCCAAGCTAAGCTTGAGCACTGTGTCATTATGTTCGCAGCAAATATCGACAAGAGCTTGCTGTTCAACTCCAACAAAACATCTGAAATGAAACGGCGTCGACAACTTTAGATTTCCACGCCGCTTTTTCGCAGTATGGAAGACACCAATCCTCTGAAATCGCCTACTCTGTAACGCTCTCGCTACACCCTGCAGGCTTTTTAAGACGGGACATGTCTCTACACCGCACTGATTGTTTCGCCGTCGAAATGCTGACGAGCAACGCCTTATTTGGGACTGCCTGAAGCCACCGCAGTGCGGGCGTGGACGCACGCTCTTGCCGTCCTCGTTGAAGTGAGAGGCAGCTTTGGCCCCTGTCCTCAATGCCCGTCAACATGTCGGAACGACAGCATAGAAGTTCTCTGTACTTTCACTTTCAAGGAAGGACAGTGCGATGGCGAACGAATACAAATGCGTTCGAGGCGTCTTCAATAAAAATGTTAAGTGGCTGAATCTTCTTCCTGCTGAAGTTCAATCTCCTGCTGCTTGCTCGCCGCATCCATGGTCTTCTTGGTAGCCCAGTAAAGTAACCAACCCCGAAAACGGTGCTCTTATTTTAGTACGGTTACTGGGCTACCACGTCTTTTTCACCGAAATCTTGTAGTGCCTCAGCAATTCGACTTTCTACACGGTCACTTTTTGAAAATTCCACACCCAACTATCCATGTCTTGAAAGGTGCCGAAAATTGCCGAATGCATGATTCCACCCGGCTGAGTTAATGATTTTTCATTCGTAGGTTGAAACGTCCTCACCAGTGATGAGTATCAGCAAATGTCTTGCTTGGTTCAATATGCGGCGACCACACATTCAACCCCTTTTTGGAGTGCTCTGAAAGCTTGCCGATGCTCCTCTGACTAGTGGCGCTGGAGCAATTCCTGGACATTGAAGCTGCAAAGATCGCGCGAATGTCGCGCATTCTTCATGTGAGCGTACATCTCACCCATGTTTCACTGTTATCACATCGACTTCAATGCGCACAGCGCCCACATAATGCCCTTGTATTTGGAAGCCCTGAACCCTAAACCCCCCCCGATGCCTTGCCGGCCGTGTGCGAGTGTGAGAGTCGAAACCCCCCCGAAAGTTCCAACAGGTGTTGGCTATGGCGACAAGATCACCATCTCTACTGGCTGGGCCAGCCGGGTCCCCAGGACCGCGCCCGCGGAGTTGCGGGCTCCTGCTTCAGGAGTCGAATGGGAGATTCCATTGCAAAGTTCCTTTAAGCAATATACCCCAGACCATAAGGGTCTTTCACTTTTAAGGCGGAAGTTCAAGGGTTTTGGGGCCATGTTTGCGCAAATCTGATGCCGGGGTCCCCGACTTCCGTCCCCAGATGTTGGGAAGGGTAGGGCTTGCTTCGTTTCTCGCGCCTTGCGTAGATTTGTCATAGCACTCTGACCCCTAAACCCTATAACCCCCTGATAGCAATTTATGATGATTCTTCTGATTTTGGATATCAGTGGATATTGGTGGAATTTGTTTGATATTTGCTAGTTTTAAGGAACTAGTGTTGGGTTTATTGATCGCATGGCTGCGATTTTGTTGCTTGCATGGGTGTAAACGTACACTCGTGCATGTCAACATGGTAATACAGTCCTACAACGTGCTTGTCGTAAATTTGATATATATATATATATATATATATATACAAAAGGTATCTATGATTTGTTCTTGAATGTCACAGATGGTTATGTTTCGTATTGGTGTGAGTTTTGCATTGTGCGAGTTGCTTGCGTTGTCCGTCGTTAGCAAACCCTCACGCAACCAGATGCACGCCTCGAAGCCCCAAAACCATGGAAAACTTCCTGATCCTTGCTGAGAAACGACGGCCAATGTGGCCTTCTGTGGCTTGAAAGTCTTCGGGCAGACAAGTGCAGTCAAGCAGGACTGCTGAGATCTTTTTTGTGCCGGGGGGGGGGGGGGGGGTTGAGGCTGGGTGGCCGTGCTGTGCATGGTGCGATATTGTTGAACTTCCCATCTTGCACTGGTCGGGAACCTATTCCGAAAGAATGGTCGAAGTGTTACAGCAGAAGTCAACGAGAGAATTGGCTTGAGGACTGGGTTTCGGCTTTTGCTTGGGGCATTTCTCTGTAGGATCAAGCAGGGGCTGGAAGCGTTTCGCCTTTTTTTTTCCGTCTTTCTTGGCCCAGGACACCCAGGCCAAGTACTTCTTCCAGAGTCTGCCAGAAGCTCAGGCAGGTCCCCTGACAAGAGGTTGAGGGGTGTGATTTGCCGTCCTGCTGCTCTTTCCCACGATTGCGAACAGCTACTGTAGCCGACTGTAGCCCGCCATCATAACAAGAACCTCAGTTTCAAAACAAGCCCCAGTCGCGAGTCCTCATGTTTGCGGTGTTGTGGGAAACCGAAGGCGTGAGGGGGGTTATGCTGCATCATGTGGCATTGTGCGGCAGCTCTTCGTGTTATGGCAAATTAAAACGTCCACAACATCCGGTTTCTTTCAGCCAACTTTGCTTGCTTCTTTGCTCAGAAGCAGCTCAGAGAGACGCAAGCACCCCTTGTTGCAGGCCGCATGCGTCAAAAACAAGAACTGTTGGAACCTTGGCAGAATTCAGGAAGTCTAGGGCCGGGTGAAGAGTCCACTTAGGGGTGGGGTTTGTAGGGCTTTTAGGGTTTGGGCTACCGCCACTGCAAGAGACCTGGATGCAAAAAGGGCTACCGCCACTGGCACAAGCTTTGTCGGTTTTTTTTTATTTGGTTTAGGGCTGTCTCAGGTTGTGTACACGCCGGTATGTAAACCCTACACCCTAATCCCTAACGCCCAAAACCTAAATCTAAACCTTAATTTTCAACCCTAAACCCTAAACCCTAAACCCTAAACCCTAAACCCCAAACCCCAAACCCTAAACCCTAAACCCTAAACCCTAAACCCTAAACCCTAAACCCTAAACCCTAAACCCTAAACCCTAAACCCTAAACTCAAACCCTAGACTCGGGCAGGTATCCCTCTATGCTTGCAGGCCTTGCCCTAAAGCCTAGACCCTCAAAAGCTCTTCTTAACCTGAGCTGAACCTTCGAGCCCGACATCATGACACTCTAACCTCTTTCGGGCACTCTGAAGGCTCTAAGGTTCTTAAGATCGCCTGTGCCCTCAACACTTTCACAGAAGTGGCCTCATTCGGGCTTGGCAGGGCGCTGGCATTGCCAGAAAAAACTGCACATGCTGGCCTCTGC